GAGAGGTTTTTACAAAGCAGAAGTGTTATAAGAAGAGCAGAGTAAATGGAGAGTAAAAGAAAGGTGAAGAGAGTGGTGAGAGAGTGCAAAAAGAGAGCATATGATAGAGTGGGAGAGGCACTGTCAAGAAATTTTAATGAAAATAAGAAAAATTTTTGGAGTGAGTTAAACAAATTAAGAAAGCCTAGGGAACGTATGGATTTGTCAGTTAAAAACAGAGTAGGGGAGTTAGTAGATGGAGAGAGGGAGATACTAGGTAGATGGTGAGAATATTTTGAGGAACTTTTAAATGTTGAGGAAGAAAGGGAGGTGGTAATTTCATGCACTGGCCAGGGAGGTATACCATCTTTTGGGAGTGAAGAAGAGCAGAATGTAAGTGTAGGGGAGGTATGTGAGGCATTACGTAGAATGAAAGGGGGGTAAAGCAGCTGGAACTGATGGGATCATGACAGAAATGTTAAAAGCAGGGGGAGATATAGTGTTGGAGTGATTGGTACTTTTGTTTAATAAATGTATGAAAGAGGGGAAGGTACCTAGGGATTGGCGGGGAGCATGTATAGTCCTTTTATATAAAGGGAAGGGTGACAAAAGAGATTGTAAAAATTATAGAGGAATAAGTTTATTGAGTATACCAGGAAAAGTGTACGGTAGGGTTATTATTGAAAGAATTAGAGGTAAGACAGAATGTAGGATTGCGGATGAGCAAGGTTTCAGAGTGGGTAGGGGATGTGTAGATCAAGTGTTTACATTGAAGAATATATGTGAACAGTATTTAGATAAAGGTAGGGCAGTTTTTATTGCATTTATGGATTTAGAAAAGGCATATGATAGAGTGGATAGGGGAGCAATGTGGCAGATGTTGCAAGTATATGGAATAGGTGGTAAGTTAATAAATGCTGTAAAGAGTTTTTATGAGGATAGTGAGGCTCAGGTTAGGGTGTGTAGAAGAGAGGGAGACTACTTCCCGGTAAAAGTAGGTCTTAGACAGGGATGTGTAATGTCACCATGGTTGTTTAATATATTTATAGATGAGGTTGTAAAAGAAGTAAATGCTAGGGTGTTAGGGGGAGGGTGGATTAAATTATGGGGAATCAAATACAAAATGGGAATTGACACAGTTACTTTTTGCTGATGATACTGTGCTTATGGGAGATTCTGAAGAAAAATTGCAGAGGTTAGTGGATGAGTTTGGGAGTGTGTGTAAAGGTAGAAAGTTGAAAGTGAACATAGAAAAGAGTAAGGTGATGAGGGTATCAAATGATTTAGATAAAGAAAAATTGGATATCAAATTGGAGAGGAGGAGTATGGAAGAAGTAAATGTTTTCAGATACTTGGGATTTATGAATTATGAGGTTAATCATAGAATTGATGAAGGAAAAAAGGTGAGTGGTGCGTTGAGGTATATGTGGAGTCAAAAAACGTTATATATGGAGGCAAAGAAGGGAATGTATGAAAGTATAGTAGTACCAACACTCTTATAGGGGTGTGAAGCTTGGGTTGTGAATGCAGCAACGAGGAGGCGGTTGGAGGCAGTGGAGATGTCCTGTCTAAGGGCAATGTGTGGTGTAAATATTATGCAGAAAATTCAGAGTGTGGAAATTAGAAGAAGGTGTGGAGTTAATAAAAGTATTAGTTAGAGGGCTGAAGAGGGGTTGTTGAGGTGGTTTGGCCATTTAGAGAGAATGGATCAAAGTAGAATGACATGGAGAGCATTTAAATCTGTAGGAGAAGGAAGGAGGGGTAGAGGTCGTCCTTGAAAAGGTTGGAAGGGCGAGGGGCTTGGACTTCCAGCAGGCGTGCATGAACGTGTTCGATAGGAGTGAATGGAGATGAATGGTATTTGGGACCTGACGATCTGTTGGAGTGTGAGCAGGGTAATATTTAATGAAGGGATTCACGGAAACCGGTTATTTTTATATAGCCGGACTTGAGTTCTGGAAATGGGAAGTACAATGCCTGCACTCTAAAGGAGGGGTTTTGGGATATTAGCAGTTTGGAGGGATATGTTGTGTATCTTTATACGTATATGCTTCTAAACTGTTGTGTTCTGAGCACCTCTGCAAAAACAGTGATTATGTGTGAGTGAGGTGAAAGTGTTCAATGGTGATGAAAGTATTTTCTTTTTGGGGATTTTCTTTCTTTTTGGGTCACCCTCCCTCTGTGGGAGACGGCCGACTTGTTGAAAAAAAGGGGTTACTAGGCCCTTGCTCCCGTCATTTTAGTAGCATCTTACAACACGCATGGCTTACGGAGGAAGAATTCTGTTCCACTTCCCCATGCAGATAAGAGGAAATAAACAAGAACAAGAATTAGAAAGAAAATAGAAGAAAACCCAGAGGGGTGTGTATATATATGCTTGTACATGTATGTGTAGTGTGACCTAAGTGTAAGTAGAAGTAGCAAGACGTACCTGAAATCTTGAGACAGAAAAAAGACACCAGCAATCCTACCATCATGTAAAACAATTACAGGATCCATTTTACACTCACTTGACAGGATGGTAGTACCTCCCTGGGCGGTTGCTGTCTACCAACCTACTACCTACACATACAATAATCTTTCTTTCAACACACCGGCCGTATCCCACCGAGGCGGGGTGGCCTAAAAGGAAAAACGAAAGTTTCTCCTTTTACATTTAATAATATATACTGGAGAAGAGGTTACTAACCCCTTGCTCCCAGCATTTTAGTCACCTCTTACAACACGCATGGCTTATGGAGGAAGAATTCTGTTCCATTTCCCCATGGAGGTAAGAGGAAATAAACAAGAACAAGAACTAGAAAGAAAATAGAAGAAAACCCATAGGGGTGTGTATATATATGTTTGTACATGTATGTGTAGTGTGACCTAAGTGTAAGTAGAAGTAGCAAGATGTACCTGAAATCTTGAGACAGAAAAAAGACACCAGCAATCCTACCATCATGTAAAACAATTACAGGTTTCCATTTTATACTCACTTGGCAGGACGGTAGTACCTCCCTGGGCGGTTGCTGTCTACCAACCTACTACCTACACGTACAATAATACATTTACATGATTGTTCGAGTTTGGAGCTGTACGAAACTCGGGGTACCACTGTATGTATATACACACCCTCTGGGTTTTCTTCTATTTTTCTTACTAGTTCTTGGCCTTGTTTATTTTCTCTTATCTCCTTGGGGAAGTGGTACAGAATTCTCCATCCATAACCCATGCATGTTGTAAGAGGCGACTAAAATGCCAGGAGCAAGGGGCTAGTAACCCCTTCTCATGTATATATTACTATAGTTAAAAAGAGAAACTTTTGTCCCTGTCACACAAAAAAACTGTCCAGAGAAGTCTGTTTCTGGTATCTTTAAGATCTGCCTGAGGTGGGACAAGGTTTTGTCACTGAACATGTTGCAGATATGGCTTTTTTCAGCTTGGTCAGGGTGATATTTCTCTACAAAACTTTGCAACTCACTCCACTTTGGACACATGTCCTTAATCACTGAAGAAGGCACATTCTCCCCTCTCTCTTTCTCCTCCTCCTCTAAAGCAATTTCCTCAGCTGTGGTCTGTTGCTGTTGCAGATGAAGGTCTTGCAGCTCTTCAGTGGTTAGCTCTTCCCTGTGGTCCTCCACCAACTCTTCCACATCCTGGCCACTCACATCCAACCCCACTGACTTCCCCAAAGACAATAGATTCGATAACAGGTGTAGGATCGTCAGGGTCAGCCTCAAACCCTTCAAAATCCTTGTCAAGGACACATTCTGGCCACAATTTTCTCCAAGCAGAGTTCAAAGTCCTGGAAGTCACTCCCTCCCAAACCTTACCTTTAAGGTTATGCAATGGAGGATATTGAAGTGATTCCTCCAGAACTCTCTTAGGGTCAGGTCAGTGTCCGAGGTCACTTCAAAGCAACTTTGAAACATTGCTTTCGTGTAGTTTTTTTGAAGTTCGATATGACCTGCTGGTCCACAGGCTGGATGAGAGGAGTGGTGTTAGGAGGCAAGAACTTCACTGTTATAAAATTGAAGTCCCTAAACAATTGGTTTTCCAAGTCTGGAGGATGAGCAGGAGCATAGTCCAGTACCAGGAGGCACTTGAGTGGCAATTTATTTTCCTTGAGGTATTTTTTCACACTTAAGCCAAACACTTCATGGACCCAGTCAATGAATATTTGCCTTGTGACTCATGCCTTATTATTAGATTTCCACAACACACACAATTTACTCTTGACAACATTGTTTCTCTTGAACACTCTGGGATTTTCAGAGTGATACACCAGTAAAGACTTTACTTTGAAATCCAATATGGCTGATTCCCGAGTTGACAGCCAAAATCCAGGATGGAATTTCAGCCAAAAAAATGGATGAAATCCGAATTGGCTGATATCCGGAACGGCCAATAACCGAGGGTCCACTGTATTTAGATAGTGACCACTGCTTCAAGTGGTGTGCCTGAAGGGTCAGCAACATCTTTGTCACAAATACGTACTGTATATAGCATTAACATATACAAATACATCTGAATATTTAAATTCCGAAACAATATTTGTTAATCATTTATTATATTATGTAAACTTAGCTCTGCCTTCACATTTAAATTTATCTTTATCCCACTATTAACAAGATTAGTAGCTCTTTTCATTAGTATTATGAATCATCTAAATATAGATCTAGAGATTATATGAAGGGATTCAGGGAAACCAGCAGGCCGGACTTGAGTCCTGGAGATGGGAAGTACAGTGTCTGTACTCTGAAGGAGGGGTGTTAATGTTGCAGTTTTATAAATGTAGTGTAAGCACACCTCTGGCAAGACAGTGATGGAGTGAATGATGATGAAAATTTTTCTTTTTCGGGCCACCCAGCCTTGGGAAACGGCCAATGTGTTGTTAATAAAATAAAATAATAAAACATTATAAGATTTACATTACTGTTATTCTGATTCAGAAAAATATTTTAACTGTCATTGAAATTCAGTTGATAACACAAATATGGAATGATACGCATCTCTTAAATTTTAGGAAAAATACTAACCATCTGGAATCCAGGTTAACCAGAAGTTAAATCTAAGTTGAACTTCTGTAAAGGCTGTCATAACCTTGGAGTAGAATGCTTTTCCAGGCTTGAAATATGGCACCTTCATATTCACTTCAACAACTGCCAATAGAAATTATAAAAATTAAAAAAAAAAATGCTAACTAAAAGTTTCTTAAAAAGATGCACATACCACTACAGTAAAATGTATGAACATGATGGTAAATAATTCACAAGTATGATTGCAATGAGAAGCATCTTTTATGAGTATGATATTTTAAAAAGAACTAAACATATGAGAGCTCATTTTACAACTAAGTAAGGATGCGAACCATTAAGTACTCCTGAATAGATCCTAAGTGACACCTGAAACACCAACTAGAAAATAGTACATTGAGAAATAGCTTACCTCCAATGAAGGCTGAGGCAAACTTAAGTGTTGTAGTGAAGTACCTATTTTTTTTTTTTCAACAAGTTGGCCATCTCCCACTGAAGCAGGGTGAGCCAAAAAGAAAGAAAAAATCCCCAAAAAGAAAATACTTTCATCATCATTCAACACTTTCACCATCACTCACACATAATCACTGTCTTTGCAGAGGCGCTCAGATACAACAGTTTAGAAGTCCCTCCAAATTATGGTTATTCCAAACCCCTCCTTTAAAGTGCAGGCATTGTACTTCCCATTTCCAGGACTCAAGTCCGGCTAACCAGTTTCCCTGAATCCCTCCACAAAATATTACCCTGCTCACACTCCAACAGCTCATCAGGTCCCAAAAACCATTCGTCTCCAATCACTCCTATCTAACATGCTCACACATGCTTGCTGGAAATAGAAGCCCCTTGCCCACAAAACCACCTTTACCCCCTCCCTCCAACCTTTTCAAGAACAACCCCTACCCTGCCTTCCTTTCCCTACAGATTTATACGCTCTCCAAGTCATCCTACTTTGATCCATTCTAAATGACAAAACCACCTCAACAACCCCTCTTCGGCCCTCTGACTAATACTTTTAGTAACTCCACACTTCTTCCTAATTTCCACACTCCAAATTCTCTCCATAATATTTACTCCACACAGTGCCCTTAGACAGGACATCTCCACTGCCTCCAGCCGCCACCTCTCTGCAGCATTTGCAACCCATGCTTCACATCCTTATGAGTGCTGGTACCACTATACTTTCATACATTCCCTTCTTTGCCTCCATAGATAACGTTTTTTGTCTCCACGGATACCTCAATGCACCACTCACTTTTTTCCTTCATCAATTCTATGGTTAACCTCATCCTTCATAAACCCATCCGCTGACAAGTCAGCTCCCAAATATCTGAAAACATTCACTTCTTCCATATTCCCTCTCTCCAATGTGATATCCAATTTTTTCTTATCTAAATCATTTGATACCCTCATCACCTCACTCTTATCTATGTTCACTTTCAACTTCCTACCTTTACACACCTTCCCAAACTCATCCACTAACCTTTGGAACTTTTCTTTAGAATCTCCCATAAGCACAGTATCATCAGCAAAAAGTAACTGTGTCAACTCCCATCTTGCATTTGATTCCCCAGAATTTAATCTCACCCATCTCCCCAATGCCTTAGCATTTACTTCTTTTACAAACCCATCTAAATATAGTAAACAACCAAGGTGACATTACACATCCCTGTCTAAAACCTACTTTTACCAGGAAGTAATCTCCCTCTCTTCTACACACTCTAACCTGAGCTTGACTATCCTCATAAAAACTCTTTACAGTATTTAGTGACTTACTACCTATTCCATATACTTGCAACATCTGCCACATTGCTCCCTTATCCACTGGAGTTTACCTGGAGAGAGTTCCGGGGGTCAACGCCCCCGCGGCCCGGTCTGTGACCAGGCTTCCTGCTGGATCAGAGCCTGATCAACCAGGCTGTTACTGCTGGCTGCACGCAATCCAACATACGAGCCACAGCCCGGCTGGTCAGGAACCGATTTTAGGTGCTTGTCCAGTGCCTGCTTGAAGACAGCCAGGGGTCTATTGGTAATCCCCCTTATGTATGCTGGGAGGCAGTTGAACAGTCTCGAGCCCCTGACACTTATTGTATTGTCTCTTAACGTGCTAGTGACATCCCTGCTTTTCATTGGGGGGATGTTGCATCGTCTGCCAAGTCTTTTCCTTTCGTTGAGAGCAAGTTTTGTGTGCAAGTTCGGTACTAGTCCCTCTAGGGTTTTCCAGGTGTATATAATCATGTATATCTCCCGCCTGCATCCCAGGGAATACAGGTTCAGAAACTTCAAGTGCTCCCTGTAATTGAGGTGTTTTATCTCCGTTATGTGTGCCGTGAAGGTTCTCTAGATCAGCAATTTCACCTGCCTTGAAAGGTGCTGTTAGTGTGCAGCAATATTCCAGCCTAGATAGAACAAGCGACCTGAAGTGTGTCATCATGGGCTTGGCATCCCTAGTTTTGAAGGTTCTCATTATCCATCCTGTCATTTTTCTAGCAGATGCGATTGATACAATGTTATGGTCCTTGAAGGCGAGATCCTCTGACATCATCATTCCCAGGTCTTTGACGTTAGTTTTTCGCTTTATTTTGTGGAAGGAATTTGTTTTGTTCTCTAATGAAGTTTTAATTTCCTCATGTTTACCATATCGGAGTAATTGAAATTTCTCATCGTTGAACTTCATATTGTTTTCTGCAGCCCACTGAAAGATTTGGTTGATGTCCGCCTGGAGCCTTATGCCATATGCCTTTTCTAAATCCATAAATGCAATGAAAACTTCCCTACCTTTATCTAAATACGTACTGTTCACATATATGCTTCAATGTAAACACTTGATATCTGTACAAAATAAAATTCTACAAGCTCCGTAAGGTTTTTGTAGTTGAATTTTTTTTTAGCTTAAAACAAGTACATATGTATATATAGAGTTGAAGACTGTGGAGAGAAGCTGGGTGGTTCCAAGTCAGAACTTGCTCCTCCATAATTATGAAATGAGAAGTTAAAAATGACCAGAAATGGACATTAAGTCCTGGAGGTAGGAAGTACAGAGCCTACCCTCTAAAGAAGGGATTTTTTATATTTGCTGTTTAGGGGGACATCTAACCTGTTATATCTGCATGCCTCATGCACAACAGTGATACTGTGACAGTGTTTCTTTTCTGGGTCACCCTGCCTCGGTGGGAGACAGCCAGTGTGTTAAAAAGAATAAAATATTAAACTAACCTGCTTTTAGAACTTTCCAAGCCTCACATATAATGGAGTACAAGAGATGCATTCTAAAAGTAATAGGTGAAGAGCTTCTGTGGACTCTCCTAGAGCTTAGCAAATAAAAAGATTAAGAAAAATATATGGTAAAAATTAAATTCTTCATAAGAGTGTCTATGAAGGGGTGTAGTGAGCTTGAGTAGCCCCAATCAGATAGTCTAAAAGAGTGATTGATTATCAAAGTACATCCTGATTCAAACTGGTTTTATTTTAACAAACAGAGGGGGAATCAACTACTATCGATACCATGCCTAACCCTTCTAGGGTAGGGTAGGTGCCTGAGCCGGAGCCTTTAGCTCATAAGACTGTCATTCCCATTTGCCCCCTTGGGGCGGAGATGGCAGACCAGAGAGGCCTAGCTTGTGGCTAGGCCTGGGGACAGTTGGTCCCAAAGATGAGGAGGTACTTGTGCCTCCTCCCATGGGAGACTTAGGTCTCAGACACTCCCTAAAGAGGGAGCCAAGGCCGGGCCACCACTTGGAAAAGGCCTGGGCCGGGAGAATACCGGCTAATCTTTAATAATAATAAGAGGGGGAATCAACTCACTTTTAAACAATCTGCTTGTAATTACAGCTTCTTCAAATGTTACACAATTCTATGTGTATCTTATTTACAGTTTTAAACTAGAACTGATATGTCACCAAATTTCAATTAAAGCAAATACAGAAATCTGATTTTCCTTACCAAATTTTTCTCTTGGTTTTCGAAGTATGTGCGCTGACAAAGAACCATTCAGTCGTAATTCCTCGTAGGTGAATTTGTTGAGCAACAGATGAAGCAGTCCATCTGGCGTTAAAGCTGCAGTGTTGTCTACATCCAAACGAGTATCACAGCTAACTGCATATAACTGACCTATGGATGCATTCTTTGAGTGTCAGAATACAAACCCCTTCGAATTCATGGAAAGAATTACTACCTGGTAATAATACAGGGTACCATTGCTTATCAAGTATCCAAATGAATATGTGTATTAAAAGTCTTAATATTTAATGTACATGACATTTCACTTTTTGAATATTCTAGCAAAATCTAGCTAACAGTACCTTAAAGCAAAGTTCCTTGTAAAACTAAGACAACTAAAATTTAAAAGAAAGGTCACTGTAAAGTTAGTCATTAAAAGGCACAACATAACTTTTATTGTTTGAACTTTGCTGGACAAGATAACTAAAATCCAAAGTCCCATAAGATGCAATCAGCTACATCATTCCTGGACTTGACAATCATTAACACCTGAGTTTCAATTAGTTCTTGGGTGAATATACACTGAGACAAACAAATCCTTTAATGTATAATCACAGACACACACCTCTCAGTGTATACACACTGAGATACACACCCATCAGTGTATATACACTGAGAAACCCCTCGGTGTACACACAATGAGATACCCCTCAGTGTGTACACACTGAGATACCCTTCAGTGTGTACACACTGAGATACCCTTCAGTGTATGGTCATTTCATCTAGAGTAATGTCTTCTTCCTATAAATACTTCATCAAAGGCTTACATATTTATGCCAGTGCCCAAGTACATTCAAACAATATAGCATACTGAATAAAGAAAAGTACAGTGATACCTCGAGTTTCGAACAGCTCCCAACTTGAACAATTATGCTAGTGTATTTTTGTAAGTGCTTTTGTAAGTGTATTTTTGGGGGTCTGAAATAGACTAATCTAATTTACATTATTCTTTATGGGAACAAATTCGTTCTGTATCGGCACTCGAACAGCCTTCTGGAATGAATTAAGTTCGTAACTTGAGGTACCACTGTATAACTAGTATACTGTATTATATAATGTACCGAACCTGTTTTCACAAATGCCTGGAGAAATGTTGATGTGCATAACTCCAACAGCGGTAAGTTCTTTACTAAGTAGAACTGAGTATCTTGAGTAACTGCATCACTTATAAGCTGAGGCAAGTTTGGAGTGTCTGGGAGAAGTAGTGACACCTTAGAAAATAAAAAAAATACACATATGATGTATATATTTAAGGATACAAAGATACTAATAGTGTATTGTATAAATATTTTCAAAAGAGCTTTTTCTTTTTTTATATTTCAAGATAAATGTAAAACAAATATGCAAGTAATATACCTTCTAATACTTTTAAAGCAAAGGTGCTCATTTCTTGTTCTTTATATTATGCACTATTCAATTTTATATAAACTCCTTACTTTGGTATTAAATGGATGGTCATCAACGACTTTATGCCATGAATGGTCATTGTGTACATCATCCCAGATGTGTTGACTGTATGACACTTGGCTCTTAGGTGCCGGGAACTTCACTACTTCAGGATTCAACATTTTTAATGTTGGGTGGATGCTTCCTTCACCAACCTCCTGTAATATGAGGGCTTATTAGAGTATTGGATTAATGTTAAATAAAGTGTATGGTAGAGTTATTATTGGAAGAATTAAGAGTAAGACTGAGAATAGGATAGCAGATGAACAAGGAGGCTTTAGGAAAGGTAGGGGGTGTGTGGACCAGGTGTTTACAGTGAAACATATAAGTGAACAGTATTTAGATAAGGCTAAAGAGGTCTTTGTAGCATTTATGGATTTGGAAAAGGCATATGACAGGGTGGATAGGGGGGTAATGTGGCAGATGTTGCAGGTGTATGGTGTAGGAGGTAGGTTAAAGAAAGCAGTGAAGAGTTTTTACGAGGATAGTGAGGCTCAAGTTAGAGTATGTAGGAAAGAGGGAAATTATTTCCCTGTAAAAGTAGGCCTTAGACAAGGATGTGTGATGTCACCGTGGTTGTTTAATATATTTATAGATGGGGTTGTAAGAGAAGTAAATGCAGGGGTCTTGGCAAGGGGCATGGAGTTAAAAGATAAAGAATCACACGTAAGGTGGGAGTTGTCACAGTTGCTCTTTGCTGATGACACTGTGCTCTTGGGAGATTCTGAAGAGAAGTTGCAGAGATTGGTGGATGAATTTGGTAGGGTGTGCAAAAGAAGAAAATTGAAAGTGAATACAGGAAAGAGTAAGGTTATGAGGATAACAAAAAGATTAGGTGATGAAAGATTGGATATCAGATTGGAGGGAGAGAGTATGGAGGAGGTGAATGTATTCAGATATTTGGGAGTGGACGTGTCAGCGGATGGGTCTATGAAAGATGAGGTGAATCATAGAATTGATGAGGGGAAAAGGGTGAGTGGTGCACTTAGGAGTCTGTGGAGACAAAGAACTTTGTCCTTGGAGGCAAAGAGGGGAATGTATGAGAGTACAGTTTTACCAACGCTCTTATATGGGTGTGAAGCATGGGTGATGAATGTTGCAGTGAGGAGAAGGCTGGAGGCAGTGGAGATGTCATGTCTGAGAGCAATGTGTGGTGTGAATATAATGCAGAGAATTCGTAGTTTGGAAGTTAGGAGGAGGTGCGGGATTACCAAAACTGTTGTCCATAGGGCTGAGGAAGGGTTGTTGAGGTGGTTCGGACATGTGGAGAGAATGGAGCGAAACAGAATAACTTCAAGAGTGTATCAGTCTGTAGTGGAAGGAAGGCGGGGTAGGGGTCGGCCTAGGAAAGGTTGAAGGGAGGGGGTAAAGGAGGTTTTGTGTGCGAGGGGCTTGGACTTCCAGCAGGCATGCGTGAGCGTGTTTGATAGGAGTGAATGGAGACAAATGGTTTTTAATACTTGACGTGCTGTTGGAGTGTGAGCAAAGTAACATTTATGAAGGGGTTCAGGGAAACCGGCAGGCAGGACTTGAGTCCTGGAGATGGGAAGTACAGTGCCTGCACTCTGAAGGAGGGGTGTTAATGTTGCAGTTTAAAAACTGTAGTGTAAAGCACCCTTCTGGCAAGACAGTGATGGAGTGAATGATGGTGAAAGTTTTTCTTTTTCGGGCCACCCTGCCTTGGTGGGAATCGGCCAGTGTGATAATAAAATAATAATAAAGTGCTTAACAGAAACCTTAATTAATTCAAGCTTGTGATTTTCCCCAATAAGATGGTCACAATTACTTGAGGTATGATGGCTACATGACAGGTGATACAATATTATGGCATATACATATCAGATCTTAAACAAATCATTTGATGCCAAGATAATCAAACCTCCTTCTCTTTTGCTTAAGTGAAAATAAAAGCCATAGAGCAGCCACCTGGTACTCATATATTAAATATTGTTGTGCATAATGTACAGTACAGATAAAAATCATAAGAGTGAATTAAAACAAATACATACTGTCCATTAAAAATATCAGTTCAGGCACACTAAAATATTCCTATTGAACAAAAAGGAACGAGATAAAATGAAAGATGGCATAAAAACATGAGAACAAAGAAGCACTGCAGCAAGCCTAGTGATCCAAGTTAGGCAGGTTCTTTAAACCAACCCTTCTCACTCAGAGTTATCCAATCGATTTTTAAAGTTAAAGTTGCCTAACATGTTAACTTCAATGAAGCCACTTGTGCCACTCACTGATAACTGTTACCAAACCAGTATCTTCCTATATCCTTTCTAAATCTTTATTCTTTTTCTAATTTGAATCTATTGTTTAGAGTTCTTTCCTGGTTAGATATCCTCAGCACTCTGCTTATAGTTTCTTAATTAATACTTGTCTTGCACTTTTATACCTCAATCTTATTTCCCCTCATTTCATGTCTTTTAAAAGACTACATACAGATTCAGAGACTTCAATTTCTCTTCATGAGAAAGACTCCTTAAACAGCAGATTAACTTTGTCATCCCTCTCTATGTTCTCCAATGCATTTATATCCATTCTGTAATATGGAGACCAGAAATGAGCTACACAGTCTAAATGAAGCCGTAAGAACAATATGTATAATAAAGTATAATCTTGGGACTTCTATAATTTATACTTCTTGATATGAAGCCAAGGAATCTATTACTGTATGTAGCTTCATTGCAAACATTTATGCACTGCTGTCTTGACTTATTTCCAATAACCAGGACTCCCAAATTTCACATTCAATTTGATTAAGACCCATATTCAGTTTATATGTGCATGGTTTTCTTTTCCCAGGATTAGAACCTATCAAAGGCCTTACTGAAATCCATATACACAATATATTCTTCATCACAGTCCATTGCCTCAAATATCTTAGTAAAAAAAAAAAAGTTAGTAAATTTGTGTAAAGAATACCCCTGTGTGAAACCGTGCTGAGATTCAGTGAAGATATTGCCATATATCTTTCAAAGTGGTTTTGAACTGCATCTGTAATTACTGAGTCTCTAAATTTTGCCACAACTGAGGTTAGGCTGACTGGTCTACAGTTAGAAGCTTAGGACCTGTCTCTCACTTTGGTACAAGTATCACATTTGCCATTTTCAACATATCCAGCACAATAAAGTGATTTATTGAAAAAAGACTAGCTAATGCTTTACTGATTTCCTCTTTACATTACTCTAAATCTCTTGAATGCAGTTTGTTTGGGCCCGGTGAACTGTTTGGCTTTAGTCTAACAGCTTTTCTGAAAAATCACTGACCCTTGTGGGTTTAGAACCTAATTATGATTATTACAATTATAATCTGCAAATCATGTCAATAGTGACTTTGGTTTTGAATAATTTATTATGTAATCCTGTATAATTACTGATTTACAATTTCTCAGTTCTACTGTATCTTGTGTAAGTAGTAAAAATGGTATGCAGTACCAAAAAAGCAACTGGAAAAACATAAAATGCAAACACAAAGATACTTTATTGGAAAATTTTCTGTCCTACAACCTTGGTCAGTCCAAATATAAGATAAGATAAGATTTTCTTCGGATTTTTAACCCAGGAAGGTACGGTTGGAACAATTGGAGTGACCATGTTCCCAGAACCCAAACATTTTAAATAAATTATCCCAGTCAGATACGACAGGATAAGAACTCATTGAGTTTTTTAACTTAGAGGGTTAGCCACCCAATAATCAGTACATCATCAAGTACTGTCTTATTTCTACTGAGGTCGTTTAGTCTTCTCCCTCAGGATGCAACCAACAACAGTTGGCTAAAACCTAGGGTTGGGGAGGCACTAAACCTGTAGGGAAAAGGCAAGTATTCAGGCTTGATTTAAGGAAAGGATAAGTCAAGTTCTCTGGGATCAAGAGCCCTTCGTTGGCATCAAAGTATCCTTGAGGGAGAGGGTAAATCTAAAGCATTCAAAAGTCGATCAAGGGCCCCAACAGCAAATGTCATTTTATCTGACTTTTTTTGGGGGGGTTATCCTTGGTAATTTAAAATAAATAAATAAATAAATAAATAAATAAATAAATAATATATATATATATATATATATATATATATATATATATATATATATATATATTTGGAAAAGGCGTATGACAGGGTGGATAGGGGGGCAATGTGGCAGATGTTGCAAGTGTATGGTGTAGGAGGTAGGTTACTGAAAGCAGTGAAGAGTTTTTACGAGGATAGTGAGGCTCAAGTTAGAGTATGTAGGAAAGAGGGAAATTTTTTCCCAGTAAAAGTAGGCCTTAGACAAGGATGTGTGATGTCACCGTGGTTGTTTAATATATTTATAGATGGGGTTGTAAGAGAAGTAAATGCGAGGGTCTTGGCAAGAGGCGTGGAGTTAAAAGATAAAGAATCACACACAAAGTGGGAGTTGTCACAGCTGCTCTTTGCTGATGACACTGTGCTCTTGGGAGATTCTGAAGAGAAGTTGCAGAGATTGGTGGATGAATTTGGTAGGGTGTGCGAAAGAAGAAAATTAAAGGTGAATACAGGAAAGAGTAAGGTTATGAGGATAACAAAAAGATTAGGTGATGAAAGATTGAATATCAGATTGGAGGGAGAGAGTATGGAGGAGGTGAACGTATTCAGATATTTGGGAGTGGACGTGTCAGCGGATGGGTCTATGAAAGATGAGGTGAATCATAGAATTGATGAGGGAAAAAGAGTGAGTGGTGCACTTAGGAGTCTGTGGAGACAAAGAACTTTGTCCTTGGAGGCAAAGAGGGGAATGTATGAGAGTATAGTTTTACCAACGCTCTTATATGGGTGTGAAGCGTGGGTGATGAATGTTGCAGCGAGGAGAAGGCTGGAGGCAGTGGAGATGTCATGTCTGAGGGCAATGTGTGGTGTGAATATAATGCAGAGAATTCGTAGTTTGGAAGTTAGGAGGAGGTGCGGGATTACCAAAACTGTTGTCCAGAGGGCTGAGGAAGGGTTGTTGAGGTGGTTCGGACATGTAGAGAGAATGGAGCGAAACAGAATGACTTCAAGAGTGTATCAGTCTGTAGTGGAAGGAAGGCGGGGTAGGGGTCGGCCTAGGAAGGGTTGGAGGGAGGGGGTAAAGGAGGTTTTGTGTGCGAGGGGCTTGGACTTCCAGCAGGCATGCATGAGCGTGTTTGATAGGAGTGAATGGAGACAAATGGTTTTTAATACTTGACGTGCTGTTGGAGTGTGAGCAAAGTAACATTTATGAAGGGATTCAGGGAAACCGGCAGGCCGGACTTGAGTCCTGGAGATGGGAAGTACAGTGCCTGCACTCTGAAGGAGGGGTGTTAATGTTGCAGTTTAAAAACTGTAGTGTAAAGCACCCTTCTGGCAAGACAGTGATGGAGTGAATGATGGTGAAAGTTTTTCTTTTTCGGGCCACCCTGCCTTGGTGGGAATCGGCCGGTGTGATAATAAAAAAAAAAAAAAAAAAAAAAAAAAAATATATATATATATATTATATATATATATATATATATATATATATATATATATATATATATATATATATATATATATATATATATATAATGCATGAAACCATATGACCTGTCTTTGTAATACTCACTTGTGCTTTATAGTAATCTGTTTACATTAATGGCTCTGGTGGCCTGGTGGTTAACGCTCTCGCTTCACACGGCGAGGGTCTGGGTTCGATTCCCAGCCAGAGTAGAAACATTGGACGTGTTTCTTTCCACCTGTTGTCTATGTTCCCCATCAGTAAAACGGGTACCTGGGTGTTAGTGGACTGGTGTGGGTCGCATCCTGGGACACTGACCTAATTTGCCCGAAATGTGCCGAAATGCGGAGCATAACAAGGGACTTTCTATATAGTAGTATGTCATTGTTGTCAGCTAGGACTGTATACCTTGTACATGTACTTGTAGTAAATAAGGATATTATTATTATTATATTATTATTATTATTATAATGTTTTATCACTGATTTCATCATTGCTTAGTTAATCTTAAGTTAATTTTAAGCCAGCCCGTAATGCTATGCATAGTATAAGTGGCTTTGGCATGCTGCTCTTATCCGTATTTTTTTGTACCTCTGTATGTGTGCTCAAATTGTTAATAAATAAATAAATAAATAAATATATATACACACACACACTTGAAAGGGTTGAATCTACATAATATATTACAAAAGTCCCTCTAATACTTACGCCCTCAAAACCACTGTAAAGTGTTTCAGCTTATATTGATAATAACTACATAATTAGGATAAAAAAATAACTTACTTTGTGTTGGGGCTATTAAAGGCCACCAAAGCTGACGCATTACTGAACCACCTCTCCCGGAGTCCGGGATGAAGATGCACCCCAAATCTGGGTGAAAATTAAAATAAATGGAAAGAATGCTTATTTCGGAAAGAAAAACGGGAACGTTAGTTTCCCAGATTACAACAGGTGGAGCATAGGCCTAAACACAAGCAGATCCAGGAATCGTACTCCCCAAGCATACACGTCTGCACCCCACCAACACTGGCACTCATGTCCAAGCTTAGTTAGGTTAGATTAGGTTAGGTTAGGTAAGGTTAGGTTAGGTTAGGTTAGGTTAGGTTAGGTAAGGTTAGGTTAGGTTAGGTTAGGTTAGGTTAGGTTAGGTTAGGTTAGGTAAGGTTAGGTTAGGTAAGGTTAGGTTAGATAAGGTTAGGTTAGGTTAGGTTTTAGTTAGGTTAGGTTAGGTTAGGTTAGGTTAGGTTAGGTTAGGTTAGGTAAGGTTAGGTTAGGTAAGGTTAGGTTAGATAAGGTTAGGTTAGGTTAGGTTAGATTAGGTTAGGTTAGGTTAGGTAAGGTTAGGTTAGGTTAGGTTAGGTTAGATTAGGTTACGTAAGGTTTGTGAGGAAACAGGAAAAGTGTTTCCTGACAAATGTTTCCTCATGCTGGTTTTAGTCATATCATGACCCGCTACTTTAGCTTTTGGTCATCTGACCAAAGCCTTCCGGTCCATTCCCTTAAAAATTAAGGTTATAATTATAGCTATTTTTTTCCAAACTTAATTGTTGCTGCTGCTGTGGTTTTTAATGGCTACCGCTATTTTCGATAAGTAGTGACTTTCTTTTGTGCCTTCTATTGTACAAATCTGCTGAAGAGGATCCCAGAAGGGGGTCGAAATATGCAGACCAATTAATCTTCTGAGTTTTTGTCTGCATGTGGGCTATTATTGAGCATTAACAAGTGTTTATTACACTTTAGTTATCCATTATACAAATACATTTATCTACATTATTTGTATAGCTCACAGAAATAAACATCATACTACTACTACTACTACTACTACTACTACTACTACTACTACTACTTACTACTTACTACTACTACTTACTACTACTACTACTACTACTACTACTACTACTACTACTACTATTTACTACTATACTTCTACTACTACTACTACTACTTACTCTACTACTACTACTACTACTACTTCTACTACTACTACTACTACTACTACTACTACTACTACTACTACTACTACTACTTCTACTACTACTACTACTACTACTACTACTACTACTACTACTACTACTACTACTACTACTACTACTACTACTACTACTATATACTTTACTTACTACTACTACAAACTACTACTTACTACTACTACTATCTACTACTATACTACTACTTCTACTACTACTACTACTACTATACTTCTACTCAAACTACTACTACTACTACTTCTACTACTATACTACTACTACTTCTACTACTACTACTACTACTTCTACTACTACTACTACTACTACTACTACTACTACTACTACTACTACTACTACTACTACTATCTACTACTACTACTACTACTTCTACTACTACTACTACTACTACTACTACTACTTCTACTACTACTACTTACTACTACTACTATCTACTACTACTACTACTACTACTACTACTCTACTACTACTACTACTACTCTAACTACTATACTTACTACTAACTACTACTCTAACTACTATACAAACTACTTCTACTACTACTTACTACTATACTACTACTACTACTACTACTACTACTACTACTACTACTATCTACTACTACTACTACTACTACTACTATACACTTCTACTACTACTACTATACTACTACTACTTCTATCTACTACATACTACTACTTACTACTACTACTACTACTTACTACACTACTACTACTACTACTACTATACTACTACTATCTACTACTGCTGCTGCTGCTGCTTCTTCTTCTTCTTCTTCTTCTTCTTCTTCTTCTTCTTCTTCTTCTTCTTCTTCTTCTTATTATTATTATTATTATTATTATTATTATATTATTATTATTATTATTATTATTATTATTATTATTATTATTATTATTATCATTATTATTATTACTATTATTATTATTATTCTCATGATGAAAAACATAGTTTAAAACTTTTACAATAATTTTATATATGAATGTTGTAAATTATATTGAATTTAACCAAGGTTTACCCAATGAAATCAATGTGATTTATTTTCACTTATGTCTTTGTTTCTTAATCACTATTTCCTGAGGTTGTACATGTGTCTAATTTATATATTTAAGTATGTGCTTATTTATACAATTTTATTTTCCAGGAATTATTATTAAAGTTTGTAATGGAATGAATGAAAATGTTAAAGGCAGGTACGTAAGTTTATTTAGGCACAGGTCCACATAAGTACAATTATCATACATAGTAACACATGTGTAAATTACTTAGGATAACCCCCCAAAAAGTCAAAGTTACTTATATTCACTGGGATACTTGTAATATCTTATTATTTAAAGCAAGCCTAACATTGGGAGCCGGGATAGCTACACAAACGTTGGTTTATCTGGAAGTAAGTCATGTTGAACTTTTTGGGTTATGCGAAATAATTTACACACTTTATGATAATTGTACCTATGTGTAGGTGTGTCTAAATCAACTTACTAACTTTCTGGGCATTTGGTGAGGGCGCCATTCATCAGCTCCTATTCAACTAAAGTGGCCAGTTGCTGTTGACTCCGATAAGTGGTTATTAGGGTCTCGCTCTGCCGGGGTTAAGGCAACGGGGTCTGCCTAACCTAATTGGGAATTATTGTTACCATTTCTATTTCCAGATAAAATTTTGGTGCCTATGTAAGTATCGCCTATATTTTGGCAGGGGTCTATAAAGCGAAAGTTTTGATAGTCCTTAACAACCCCAACAATACTCAACACCGGGGAGCTGAGGTGCGTTACTTTACGCTTCTAGATATTAACAATGCATTCCTTGTTGCAAATATAGAAGTCATTTTGTTTGAACTAGCTAAGATGGATGATGGTGGTCTACTTTTACAGTGGATACTTGGATATCTCACAAACAAGTTCAGCTGCATTGTTTCAAGGATACAAAAGTGACAAAAAATGCAACTTGGCAGTCCCCCAAGGCGGTGTAATAAGTCCTACACTGTTTAAATGTATTAGTCAGTGCCATACTTAAATCTATACCAGATATCCCCAGCAATATCACGGTTAGCCATGTTGATGATATTCTTGTGCATATTAAAACTCATTGTGACATTCAAGGACTCCAATGAAAATCAGTCACTTTTTTTTTTTTGGGGGGGGGGGGGATTATCCCAGGTAGTTTACACTATATATGATAATTATACTTATGTGTACCTGTGCCTAAATAAACTTACCCTTAAACCACATAGACAGCCTTTGATAACCTTAGACTTATAATTTCTGCAGAAGACAGCAAAGTGTTTAATAGACACATTAGTACTCGTAAAAGTCGACCATTAAAATTAAAGGTCATTGGCAGGCCTATTGATTATGTGTCCTGTAAATACATATGTATTATTATTCTATGTTTTCAATTACTCTGATTTGGAAGATGTGAGGAAATTAAAACTATATCGGAGTACAAGAAACAAATTTCCTAAATTTGCTTGTAACAGATAAGTGAACTATAGATATGTAGATATAAATCCACATGTATTCCTGTTAACCCTTTGGGGCCTAGTTCCTAGGCCTTTTGTGTATCCATATGCTCTTGTGCTACTGGGGTGGCCCGGTGGCCTGGTGGCTAAAGCTCCCGCTTCACACACGGAGGGCCCAGGTTCGATTCCCGGCGGGTGGAAACATTTCGACACGTTTCCTTACACCTGTTGTCCTGTTCACCTAGCAGCAAATAGGTACCTGGGTGTTAGTCGACTGGTGTGGGTCGCATCCTGGGGGACAAGATTAAGGACCCCAATGGAAATAAGTTAGACAGTCCTCGATGACGCACTGACTTTCTTGGGTTATCCTGGGTGGCTAACCCTCCGGGGTTAAAAATCCGAACGAAATCTTATCTTTTCTCTCTTACCATCCACAGGATGGATATGGGGGTGCACAATAAACTAGCCACTTTGGTGGCAAAATCTAATCTAGACCACAACATTGTATGGATTGCATCTGTTAGAAAAAATGACAGGATGGATAATGAGAACCTTCAAAACTAGGAATGCCAAGCCCTTGATACTCTTCAGGTCGCTTGTTCTATCTAGGCTGGAATATTGCTGCACACTAACAGTGCCTTTCAAGGCAGGTGAAATTGCTGACCTAGAAAATGTACAGAGAACCTTCATGGCACACACAAGTGTGATAAAACACCTAAATTACTGGGAGTGTTTGAAGTTCCCTCCCTGGAATGCAGGCGGGAGAGATACATGATTATATACACTTGGAAAATCCTAGAGGGATTAGTACCAAATTTGCACACGAAAATCACTCCCTATGAAAGC